GTCGACTAGAGACTGATAATAGTCTGTCTTTTTGCTACTGCTTGACTGTGGGTGGATAGTCTATAATTTTATATCTAGGATTAGTATTCAGAATTAAAATTTTACTTCTCCTTTATCTTGCGTCACACGCGAAAGCGCTCACTAGCCGAGCACGGTAATAGTGCGCTAGTTGCCTGTTCAGATAGCGTCTCTATGTTTGATGGTTATCCTAATCGTCAGGCGACCGACGCTGGAACATCTAGATGGTGAAAACACGCACCGGCACACAATAATGGGGGGCTGGAGCGCCAGCGCGAGAGAAAGAGAGAGAGAGAGAGAGAGAGAGAGAGAGAGAGAGAGAGAGAGAGAGAGAGAGAGAGAGAGAGAGAGAGAGAGATTAGAGATTACAACCACCACAACCAGCATCATCCCTTCCATTGTCATACAGCAAAGTTTTGAACATTTCCATCATCATCGTCATCATCATCATCTTAATTACCATTATCACCACCACAGTAGCACCACCCTCCCCGAATCCCCAGCCACCAACGTCACCATAATCACCAAAATCATAGCCACTGTCATCACCACAAACAGTATCATCATAACCATCCCTTCAACCACCACCACCACCATTACCATACTAACAACAACCACCTCCACCACCACTACCACCACCGCCGAGAACTATGACACGCCTATGTAATATAGCAGTCACTTTTTCTCTGGTCGTTTGCAGGAACAGATGCAGAAGAACTTGCAGACATTGGGAAGGCTGATGAGGCTGCCGTTGCTGGACCTCAGTACGTCAGACTGGTCATCCAGGATCTCCTCTTTGTGCCTCTCACAATAGGGCGGGAACGTAAAGTCTGGAGGGAGCTTGGTCTGCAGGCCACGAGAGGTCAGGTCACAAACAAGGTCCGATCAGGGGTCAGGGGCACCCTCTTAGATTTTAGCTTTAGTAAGAGTTTTACAGTATTTGCAACAGATTTAGGTTATACATATAAGTGCCGAAGATTAGAGGTGTTTCATTAGTTTCAAGAGAGTAAAAAAGAAGAAGAAAAAAAGGAGGAGGAAAGATGAGGACGACAGATGTTTGATAGGAAAGAAGGAGCAAACCAGTCCAAAGCACCCGCCAACCACCCACAAGTAGGTCATATAAGTGTCGAAGATTAAAAGTGTTTATAAGAGTAAGAGAGTAACATACACAAAAAAGGGGTGTCGGATCAGGGTGATAGATGCTTAGCAGAAAAGAAGGAGCAAACCACACCACAGCACTCGCCAATCACCCACAGGTCACAAACAGGGTCAGAGACGACGAAGTCATAATAGACACGCTCCATATGCACCGACAGGTCTCACTTTTAACTTTTGGTTTAGCTTGAGTAGGGTGATAATTTTACAGCACCCGTAACACCAACACCATAAATACATTTTTTTTTTAAACGACAACATCGACGACGACTACATATATACATGTACATATATATATATATGTTCAATAACATTCCCTGCGTCCACTGACCAGTATTGGTGCCACATGAGTCAGGGTGTCCAACACCTCGGCTTTCTCCTTGTCGTCCAAGACGTCATTCTCTTCCTCGTACCCCGGGTCCATTTCAACCCACATGATGAGCGCCTGGCAGCCCGACCACAGGATGTAGAGAAGTAGAACGAGTAGAGGGACACCCAGGAAGTAGACGAAGATCACCTGCAGCGGGATATGGCGCGTACCGGTACGTATGGACACATATAATTTTATACAGTAGACACACTCAGAGCCAGATATAATATGGACACACATAATAATAATAATAATAATAATAATAATAATAATAATAATAATAATAATAATAATAATAATAATAGTGAAGATCATTTCTATAACGCTCACTCTCGTGTAAACACAGCTCTAGGCGCTTTACATAAATGCATGTAAGACACACACACACACACACACACACACTCACACACACACACACACTCATATACACACAAACACACACACATATACACATACACACACACAAACACACGCACACACACTCACGAACACATAACACGCACACATGTGCACACACATGTATGCCAAACACACACACACACACACACACACACACACACACACACACACACA